ATTCCTAATGTTATATTCTTATTAGAGCATGAAATTTCTATCCATAGAGATTCTATGGAACATGCGTATTTGCTTAAGATTTTTACTTCATTTGATTGTACATTTTCTTTCACATATAGTGCCACTCCCGCGCCTGCAAGACCTGTTCTGTCCTTCCGATATATTTTGTACTCCGGAATGATTGTGTCCCATTGATTGCTCTCAGTCCACCAGGTTTCTGTGATGTCTATTATATCAATATCCTCCTTTATCACAAGGCACTCTAGTTCACCCATCTTATTTAGACTTCTAGCATTTGTGTACAAGCACTTTAAAAACTTGTCACTGTTTATTTGTCTGCCTTTTTCTGATGTGTCAGATTCTTTATGTGAATGTTTATCATTTGATCTGGCCCCTACTTTATCCTCTGTAGGATAAAGTAGGGGCCAGATCAGATGAGCCTCAGTGTCTATATTAGTCTGCCTTCCCAAATTCCTCCTACAGTTTTAACTGCAGAAGTTGTTCTTAGGAAGTGGAGTGCAGTAGGGGTGGTGCACAATTACCACTTGCTAACTCAGAGGTGAGTGCTGGGCAAATGCCCCAGGCATGCTTATAAAATACTTTGGGGGCTTTCAGGATGAATGGCGCTCTAGTGCTATACACATGCCTCCCTCAATGCATGCGGCTATTCTGTCATAGCACAACCAGGCCCTTGAGCTGCATGCAGCTCGATGTTGGTGACCGTGTGGAGTGGCACAGCCTTAGAGCACAAACAGAATATGAGCTGTAGCCTGCCAGACTGAGAGCACAACTTCTGTCACAACTTCAGGGGTGGGGTGAGGTTCTCCTGCATGTTGACTCTCCTGCAGGGGTAAAGGGGCCACAGGCATGGATAGCTGTCCTAGGGGCCATGCCAGGGCAAGGAAGGCCCCCTGTGCCCTGCCATGCAAGGTGCAGCTGTGATCTGACCCCTAGCCAGCAGATAGAAAAAGGATTCTGGCATATGGGGAGAATTCAAGAGGGAAAGATGAGTTATCCTTAACATTAAAAAGGATTCATTGTTTAACAGCTGGGTGGAGAGTGGAAGCTGCTTGAAAATCATGAGAATGAAGGGAAAAAACGTTAATGAGGATTGGTTCAGCTGGAAATTAAGTGTCCTTTAAAGTTCAAGTTTGTGACAAGTCAAAAAAAAAAAGCTTACACTTGATCTGTATCTCATGTTCTAACTACTGATACACAACATTTATTCTTCACAAACCTTGGTCCTCTTAATTCAATTAGCAATGGCCCAGTCTTCTCCAGCTGAAATTGATAAATGGGGTTGTTTTTGTAGGAATCTCTGAAGTTTCCACAGCCTCCAGCACTATGACCTTTCCACTGCCCATTAACCTGAGAACAAACAAAACAGACGGTGCCCTATTTATTACAGACAGATCTTGTTTCTTCTCTGTCTAGTTTCAAAACAGAGAAATAAAAAGTGAAGTCCTGGATTCTTCTCACTTCAGTTGACTAAGTGTGTAACTCCACTGATTTCAATAGTTGTTCCTGATTTATACCAGCATAGACAAGATCAGAATTATTTTTAGTGTTTAGAATTTAAAAAAAAAAAACAGTGCCTTCCCCTTCAACAAATATTAAAGCTATTTAGATTAAAGCTTCAGACCCCTTCTCATTTGGATTAAACAATCCAGTATCCAAATTTTCCTTGATCATATTCAGGCCACTACCTTCAAGTTCTAACAACCCAAAAAAAGCAAGAGTTTCTGAGTATAGATTAAAAATGAAGCTCACAAGTTATTCCACTCACACTACTGTAGAGGATGCACAATACAGACATTCTAAGTCAAAGCATACATTTGTGTTTCATCAAGAGGCTCACTTTGCATGGAAAATACCAAACACAAAACTATATAAAAGAACTCCAGAGACCGAGAGGGGCCTTCTTTCTAAACATCAGGAATTTCACACACCCATAGCAGATTATCAACAAGCACTGATTTATGGAAGAAAATCCAATTTCTTACCCGTTTGGAGATGGTGTATGGGGTAGGAATCTTGGTAAAAGTAAACTTGCATACTGAATACACCTAGATTGTGGAAGAAGGATTCAGTCACACAAATCAACCAAGCATTTACAGTATGAAACCATGACAAAATATAATTATGGGAAAAAAGCAGCTTTACATGCACAACAACTTTGGAGATCTTGAGTCCCCATCTGTCTCCAATAGGTAAAAGATACAGACTGACATCAGCTAATTCGTACAATATAATGGTCTATACAAAAAGAGAACATTCCCTATTTCCCTTCCTGGCACTGGGGTGGGGGTGGGAGGAGGAGAAACAGATGCTTCGAACATTACTAACAGTTGGAGGGCACAGGGTAGAACCGGAATTGTGGGCACCCATACTCCTTTCAACTATTAAGCCCTAGTCCCCTCACCAAAGCAAACTGTGAACACCTATAGTGGTGCTTTAATTTGCTTTCTGATACTTAGCACAGTGCATGCTCCCCTAAAGCTCCAGCTAGCTGCTCAATGTGTTTAGTGTGCAGAGCAGAGGGACACCAAGAGGATTACGTATGGAGAAGAAAAGGCTGGTGATATTAAATGAGAACCAGAAGCACTTTCTGCCCAGTGAGTACTGGGAAACAGCAGATACCACCCACAATAACATGCCCTTCAAAGTTTGTGTATTTGATATGTAAAGTCACCATGGGGTGACTGGGGCTACAGTGCTTGGGCTCCAACCATTATCCTCCACTGCCCTCCCTTCCCCCAGAATGCTTTTTTTGAGAGGGGGGGGGATTGAGATTAATATTTGAGTAGTGAAATAAGGGCCAGTTGTTTGCTCTGAACTATGTCCTCCTCATACATGGTTGAGAACGCAGCTCATCTCTCATTGTTTGTGAGCAGTCTAGTCATGTTAAATGCAGAGCTCAACACAGGTGCAAAACAGTAGCAATAGAGTCCTCCGTTTCCACCAGTGCTTGTCAAAGTGGCCTGTAGTGAAGTCCGGTAAGGCAGAGGTGCACTGGGGAAGCATGACTGAACTGCGTCCAATTCCATGTCACATTTTCATAGCGTAAAGAATGTAGGGGGAGAGGGTGTGAACGGTCTTATTTTCTGTAGTGGGAAAGGAACTGCGTAACACATTAGCATAGGATTTGTCAGTTACAGGATGACCTTTCATTCGGATTACTGTGTACGTGAGGATTTAGGGAAGAAAATACTTTAAATCATCTTTACTGAAATATGAAGTGGATGAAGGCTGGGTAGTGCAATGATGAGCTAGTGCTAGAGCCTTTTACCTTGAAGCAGATGTTTAATTTTAGCTGAGGAAATAAAACAAAAATACTTTCGTCTTTTTAACCTAGTCTAATTATAAGATTATGATTGAGAGAGTTTCTGGACTGCGGTAATGGAACAAAGCACTGCACGCAAGAACTGACTCTGTATTGCCCTCACTAGATGAAGATCCATATATGGGTATGTCTACACAGCAGCTGGAGGTGTGATTCCCAGCTCAGGAAGACATACACACTATAGCTCAGCTAACACATTAAAAATAGCAGCGTGGCCACCTGCATGTAGTCCCACCTGACCCCCTGGGTATGTTCTCGGGCAGCTAGCCTGAGCTGCTGCCTGTGCCATCATGGCCACTTTGCTATTTTTAACACCTTAGCCAAAGCTGAGCTAGTGTGTGTGTGTCTATCTGAGCTAGGAATCACACCTCCTAGCTGCTCTATCGATATGCACTAAAGCACCTACACAGTGCTTCCTTTTCTCCAGTGCGTCCCATCCATGATTCACATCTTCCCCCGACCCCTTCCAAAAACACAACTATATTCATCCAAAAATAAGTACTTTGAAATATAGGGCAATCAATTTAAAAAAAATCTGAAAACCGTCCCCAGGATCAGACACTTCCCATCACTCTTACCAATGGGGAGGATTTTCTCTTTGCTATGTTTTCCCACTGAATTCAATGCTCCGCTTATAATATGATTGTAGTTTCTCTATAGTACGTACCCTGACAGTATAGTGGATCGTGTTCTGTTTCTCATACTGGGATACCACCAGTGTAAACGTATGGGACCCTGGCGATGTCAGCGCTATCTTGGTCAGATAGTGGGGACTGTTGATCCGAATCCCATCAATATATGGGGCAGGATCAGCTGGAAAGAAAGAGATGCATGTTTCCTCACCACCAAAAAAACCCCCAGCAGTGGTGAAAATCTCTATCCATTCTGCCTCATCACTGGGCTTTATGCCAGGAATGTCATTCTGCTGGCAACAAGCTGGTGACACAGAAATACAAGCTACACCCAGACTAGCTAACTGTAAAAATAACAATATCTTCCATTTTCACAGATGAAACACTCAAAAGCAAGAAACACTTTCAAGAGCAACTCCAAACAAACAGTGTCTGGGAATTGGGTATGATATGGCATCCACTCATTGTGCCATAGATGCCTTTTCAGGATGCATTGGGAAATGCAACCTAATGCCCTTTTCTTGCATCACGGGCCTCATCCAACTTCCAGTGACTTCAATGGGAGTAGATGAGGCCCAATAGCTCTACTCTAGAGAGAGTCCTACTGTGATTTTAAGTAGACATTTTAAATAAGACCCAGAATCTTAAATTAAAATATATTTGAGGGGAAGAGACCCTCAAACTTTTTCCTGTGATGAGTTCCTTATGGAGGCTCCCTGCTGGGAGGGAATCAAAAGACTGGATCTGGGCTGTGGAAGTGTCCAAAGCTTTTAAGAGTACAGCTTCCTAACATGCTAGATTTTCTCTTTTTCAATTCCCCTTTTCCTCCCACAGTACATTTCTAACTTTTCAACTGTAGGCTGCATTCCACTAGCTACCCACATAGCTGCAGTCTGAATGTTTGCTTTACTATAGCTACATAATACAGTGACATAATCTGACAGATAATGCTTAAGAACCTTTCAGGAATATTCAGCCTCTTACAGGCACCTTGGTTCTTTTCAGGATTGTTTCTGTTCCACTGAAATCAATGGGAATCTAGTCACTGACTTCAATAGGTCCAGGATCAGGCCCTTCATTCTCTTGACAAGGGACTCTGTTCTTTAACTGTGTGGGAGGAGAGGGGGAAGGGAAAGGGATTAATAGAAAATAAATTGAAGCTTAGCATTGGGAAATCCACCTCTCCATGCCAAAGGATTAAACTGTATTTTTAACAGATGGGTGAAATAATATTGCAGCTTTACAAATCTGTTGCAATTCCCAGTTTCAGTGGAAAGAGTATTTTAAAGCAGTTTGATGACTCTGTCAGTTTGAAAGCTCTGTTAAAAAAACTGGGCCTTAAAACAAAACAAAACCTGGACAGATCATTTGTTGAAAGTAAGAGGTCAAACAGCCTCTTTGGAAAATCCCTTGTAGATCTTTCAGACACAGATTAAACCTTCAGTTCCTCCACTGTACAAATGCACTGACATTCAGTGAGAATATTTTTTGGTCTAATATGCCACGTAAGTGCTGCTGCTAGTGCTAGTCACATCAGAAGATGTCTCCGATACAGCAGGGAGGAACACAAACATGTTTAATGAGATCAGCTCTTGCAAAAATGGATGACAATCTGCCTAGGTCCCAAAGGACCTTCACTGCAGAAACACAGCCTGGAATCAAAGAGGAACTTGTTGGCAGAGTTCACTGAACAAGTTGGCAGATGATGGGCTCTGCCCTTACTAACAACTGCTGCAGTAAAACCAAAAAGGCAGTGTTTTAGTATAATTAACCTTTCCTCTAAAGGGCATGAAGAGCCACCAGCAACCCAACCTCAAATTCAGTTTTACACAGGGAACTGCCTGGCTGTAACCAACAATGGGCCTAGTCCTGATTGGCTTAGACTGTTTTCACTGCAATAAGAGGTGGGGTTTGTACATGGAGATCACTAGTTTGATGTCAGTGGAGATGAGGCACAGGTAGTTTCTACCTTGAAGTATCAAGTCAAGATCAACTTTATATCCTCCCACCTGGGTTGGACCTTGACTTGCTATATCAAGGTGAAAACTACCTGTGCCTCATCGGCTCTAGGGTTTTACAGTTAGCTATCTTGATACAGAAACCCCACCTATTATTGCAATGAAGACAAAGCCTTACAAATAGTCCCACCGACTTCAAGGCAAGCAGGATTTAGCCCATAGTGACCACAGCCAAGGCATTCAATTTTGGGCGGCTAAAGTTAGGCAATGTAAATCCATAGTTGAACACTTCTCCTTAACTCAGTAAAGCACTGAAACATGTGACTATCTCCAAGTACATCCTTAGGTATAGATTTAAAAGCTTTGCTGAACTGGATCTTTAAATAAACGGCATTTATCAGCGGTGCTGAGCACCCACAGCTTCCACTCAATGCAAATAGCCATAAAAAAGTTCCACTTGTTGTTGTTGTTTTTTACTCCACAAAAGTAGGGAATGATTGTGCCTTTAGATAATCAGGAGCACGTTGTCACTTCCCTTTTAATATTCACTACCCTCTGTCTGTGCAGGCACAGTAGCTGGTTTTACAAGAGAAATAGATATAAAAACTGTGCCCGTTTAAGCGGCAATGGATTTCTGTATATCCGAGGGCAGGACTGAGCCCTTAGGACTCTCCACAATGGAAGCAGACCAAAGCATACATTGAGACTTTATTGGTTGGTCAATCAGAGCCCAACTGACCACACTGAAGTCTGAATCTTCCCTCACCCCTTCGGACTTGGGGTTTCCCATTCATGAATGACTCTAACCAGCTTAAAAAAATTAGCAAGTCTTCATCCACTCGTGAGCATCACTTTGACATCTAAAAAACACACATACTTGGGTAGTAAACTTTTTTCCCATCAGTCTTGTATACAACCATTGTGATGAATTCCCGATTGCGTGCGAAGTCATCCTAAAAAAATATTAAAATGAGTTGAAACAGATCCAGAAATTACTACTAATGCACTGTGTAATTCAAATGCATATTTCATCGCTGCTTTTGTATTAGCAACGTGGCTTGATTTGGCATTTATATTTACTGAGGTGCCTATTCCAGCTCCCATGGAAGCCAGTAAAGAATTTGACAAGGACTTCCCTGAGAACAGATCAGGCCTCTAGTATATTGCTCTTAGGCCTGATTAGTAAATCCATCCCTAGTGATAGAAAAAAATCCTTCTACAGCAGTAACACGTCTACACTACAGCGCGACAGCTTACAGGAGTAGAAGTAATGTCATAACAAGTTTATTTAAAATATATGAATAAAAACTGTTAGAGAGATTACATACATCCTACCATAATGAACTAATTAAACCCCATGATTAGGGCAGAACAGAAGCTGTATGACAGGCCTGCACAACTCGTAAAGTGGCGAGGGCCATATTACTCCAAAGCAAACAGCTGAGGGCCGTAACCCCCTGAGCGCCCCCCGCACCACCTGCCCCACGGAAACAAACCCTCCTTCCCCAGCGCCGCCCCACCGAAACAGCAGTATTGAACCTCGGTAATATGTTATAGTGGGCCCCTAAGGTAGTATAATTAAGGTAAAAGAAAAATGTCTTTTTGCTAGAAATAGAATAAGATCTTCCCCCCACTTTGTAATTAATTGCCCTGTTGAATGAATGAGGTGTGAATGAGGAAGGTGTGGAAGGCAGGCACCTCCAGACAGCTGCAACCCTTGGAGATGGCAGGGCCGGCTCTAGGATTTTTGCCGCCCCAAGCAAAAACATTTTTGGCCGCCTCCCCTTTCTTTTCCCCACTACTTCTGCAGTTGAAAAAGACATACAGTGAGGTTCACTAGGATCTAGAGAATCAGACAGACAGGTACTCAGATCTGACTATTTCTCAATTGTAA